TGGGTATGGCTGGCTGACGACGGCTAATAAGCCAGAAATGGCCATTCCGGTCTCCCTTGTCTTTGTCGGTAATAGCATTCTGCCTATATATCATGCGCCGCTGTGCGGCTGCTGGTTGGGCTCGAGAGAGAGTCCATAAGGCACAACGGAACGAGTGAGTTTCGTATGAACGATCGGTGAGTGCCCCCTAACATTATAGATATATATATATATATATATATATATATATATATCGGCGAAACACGTGTCTGGGCTTTAAGCAAGTATCTATGCCGGGAGTACGGTATAATACCTTTACCATATGGAATTCATACTACTCGTAGTACTACTTGTTTGTGGAATGGACATTACGTGGTTATTCCACAGTAGTTGATTGTTTTCGACGCGAATGCTCATTGAAATTTCGGTTCTGACCCTAAAAAGTCTTGTCGCGAAGATTTAACTCCATGTCCTGCACTGAGTAATTTCTGAAAGTATTCAGTTGATATATATATATATATGTTTCATCTCCACTTTACTCCAGTTTTCAGGCTTCGTATGTGCAGCTTACTCATGCACAAGATGAACCAGTTGGAATACTCCTGCAAGATGGTGTAATATACTCCCTGGTGGAGGGATCATCCGCCGCTAACAACGGCGTGCCCGTTGGCACACACCTCATAGAAGTAAACGGGGTAAATGTTGTTGGCTTCAGCGACGAGGAGATTACACAGCACATTTCTGTGGCCGGTTCTACCGTGGCCCTCACTCTTCTTCATCATGATATTTACAAGAAACTTGTGAAAAAGTGGGTCTTATATTGCGTACATCCATGTTGTTCCTGTTCCATCGTCTTTATATCTGCCTGCATGTTTATACTTACTAAAGCATGATTTTATAGCTGAGTAGTTAGCCTTGAATTGTGAACAGGACTAGTCTGAATGTTAGCCTAGGCTGTCTGTTGACCCCTCCCTCCTTGTATCTGAAACCTCACTTGCTAACCTTTTCATCAGTGTTCCCACTCTTACTACGCAGGTCACCTGGTCATTCTTCTTCGGTAATGAGTTTGTGGGCGGTGGCGTTGGCATGATATGGTGCCTCCAAATCTTCTCTGTCCCAATCGAATTGCAGGAGGATATTCTATGAAATTCCCCCGGTGTCTGGGGAGATATCAGTGAGGAAGGAATTGCGTCAACTGTTAAGGCCTCGTAATCATCCTTTGCCGGAAGGAAGATGTGTGTGTGTGTTGTGACACACGTCTGCATGCAGGTCCCAGGGGAAGTGCTTGAAAATCAGGGAGGGTTAGGCCTGCAACAGTGCTTACTCGTACTTGGTGACAGTTCGACCGTCGATTTCGACGATGTCCACCGTGTGCCCCACAGCTGCAGCAGCGGTGGGAGCAGGGACGGTGACTTACGCAGGGGTTTATAGTGCCAGTAGACTTGCGTAGCATCTACCTACACTCTCTCCTCCT